CTACTAGGTGAGGTTGATAATGGCAGTGGTTTACATTTATACTGCTTCTTAAAAACAACCGCTAGTCCTCCTCCTCTGCCTGATATTCGAGGAGAGTTTAAAAAGCAGCAGTCATCAGGTAAAAGATCTGTGAAAGCGCTGGACTCACCGGCCCTCAACCATGTCTCAGTTATACAGAGGAAATCCAGTCCTTGGGTCATAAATAAATCCCTTACAATAAAAGTTTTATTACTCAGCGATCTAGTGTTCACCAATCCAAACCTGGTGGAGGTCAGCGTGTTCGGTATTTATATTTATATATATATCGGTATTAATCAATGACTGTAGAAAACAGTCAAAAATCTTGGTATTAATCCACATAATCAAATTCCAATGTATTATTTTAAGTTTTTATTTTTTATTATATTGATTACTGACCACCGTCTATTTAAATACAGGGTACTTACCACTGGTACTGAAAGTTTTGACAGCTCTTTTATTTCGCTCTTGTAACCAACAGGAACCAGCGTGCGGATTCTCTTTAATATAAAACATTCCCTCCATGAGGAAATAGGTGCGCTCTCTGCCCCGGTATCCATGTTTCCGTGGGGAGGGGGAAAATGTATTTCTGTATTGACCGCTGTATTTATGCTGCTGTTGAACTTGAACCTCTTCCGGTGAGTCAATGATCACTGTCAGTGTTTAGCATTAATGATGAAAGTGGCTGAAAGTTTGCTTTATGAGCCGCGTGAGAGGAGCTCACGTCAAGCGCTTCCCGTAAAGTCAGCTGGTCTTGACGTCGAAAAATGAATTGGGAACTGCTTTGACCACGTTTTGTCGAGCCTTCAAAGGCTGTCCACGTGTTTATAAATCGTGTGGATTGCACCACAATGGTCCGCCCCCCACACAAACATACAAATGATGGCTGGAGAGGAGACTTTGGCTCTGTTGGTACTAAGCTAGTTTAGCATAACGGCGCATATCTTGCGCTCTGGCGATCAGGATAAGCGGTCACAAAGAAGGTCTCCCGTGCGCGTTTACATGAACGCGCTGGTTATCAATATCTGGGCAGTCTAAGAGTAGCGTTTTACAGATCAGATCCCTTTAAGTGCCATCTACACATCATCACAGACATTATTAGATGATGATGAAAGTTGATTAAACATCTATAAAGAACATAAGAACTCATAACAGCAAAATCCAACACTGTTACATGCAGTTAATGATGCGTAAAATCGCCGAGTGCTGCTGTTCATTTCTAGGCTGTACATTAGAGCTTTAAAACTTTAACCTGGATCCATTAAAATGTACTGTCCCAATAAGAGAGACGCTTGAGTTTGTCACAGATCAAAGTGAAACGTTTGGCTGATTTAACAGGTATTCTTGACGTGTATTCTGTGTTTCCAACAGTTACTTTGTAGCAAATTGGAATAAAGTAGAACAACATTTTACATATTTTGTGCATCGCCAAATGAATGCACGCACATACTCGTCAAAATTGGATTAAGGGTTTGAGAGTAAAGTTTCAATATAAAAACAGAATTCAAGCACAGGCTTATTCTATATCAAATTTGATATGCAGTTCTGTATCCTGTTGTATGATCATATTTTAATGCTTCTAGGACAGTAAAACTGCTGTGCAATTGTTTGCTGCCAACAGACAAAAATAAAGGCATGTAATAATTTATATTTATTGCTGATGCTACAAAGTTACACAAAAACTTTAGACTTGACTGAAAACATTTAGATCCTCCTACTCCCCAGGGATAGGATGCTACTTTAGAATAATTGGTTAGTGGATGGTGATTTCATATTCCATCCATGATTTTACCCCCGCCCCCCCCTCCCCAAAAAGGTCATTTTGAATTTGATGGCAGCAAAATGTCTCAGAGAACTGGGATAAGGCTGTGTTTACCACTGTGTAGCATCCCCTCTTCTTATAAACGTCAGGGAGCTGAGGAGACCAACTGTTGTGCCTTTTGGAATGAAATGTCTGTGAAGGTTCTCAGTCATCCAGGTCATCGTAGTCAAAGGAGCTTGCAAAGAAAAGCGTCTGGACTTCTTTAAGTTGCTTGAAGACGTTT